ATCATCAAGATTGGCCAATTCTTAATCAAAAAATCTAGCAAGGAATGGTATAGCTAGGTCTGAGTTATGCTAGGATACTACAGTTAACACTAGTTTTCTTGGGGTATGTTTCCATCAGCCATTTATAATTATACTTTCCCGTCTTATTTTTGGTTTAATGAAGTTTTCACATTAAAAAGTACCATTACCCAAATTCGATCCTAACTATCTAGGGTCTTGGGAGGGGTGAAATGGATATGGGCATAATATTTGGCTTTTTGTGGCACAAAGTAGCTGCTCAAGAACCAAACCTTCAGTTCACTTGTCAGATTGAGATTTTTGCTTTTTTTTTTTTGTTAAAAGGTTATGTATTAACTGAGATTTTCACACTACCCATCAAAAAATAAAAGAAAAAAAATTATATTTGCATTTTTAGAATGATGATAGTATGATACCGATATGGTTCATTTTAAACCTTAAATATTGTTGGTGTGTGTGCGTCTTTGATATATTTTTACATGAATTTATTAGGAACTTGTATAGAAATCAAACATGAGTATAAAACTTGATTTGAAAGTAGTTTTGACTTTTGCTTATTTGCTTTTGCAGGGTCAAACAATGCAAATGATGTATGAAATTGTTGCCAAGGAACTAAAATCCATGTAGCTTGGAATTCACATCCTCAAGACTACCTGAATTTCTATTGTCTCGGTAATCGGGAACAAATACCTAAGGACATACATGAATCAACTAGTCCATCCACTAATGGTGGATGAACTGTATGTTAGATAGTTATACCCTTTAACTCCAATAAGATTGATGCACCTTTTTGATATTTATTGTAAATGAATAAAGTACATAATTGATTAATGTCATCGTGGTGTGTTTCTGTGTAAAACCTTTAAACTGGATATTTATGAGACTTGTGTTAATTTATAATTTTCATAGCCGTTGGATAGACCTGTAAAGATTTATCCTATCAAGGTTGACATTGATGTATCGTCAAGTTGGTTGGGGTGGATTGTTTTAATTGTCAGGGTGAGACCTGAGATGCATGTAGTGTGGGTTTTTTTGAAACTTTAAACCATACCAAAATTCTAGTATTGCTTTGGACTTTGGAGATAGATGGACAAAATTGAAATGTTACACATGACCCCTAGATTCAATTATGATATTGCACTAGGTGTCGAATTGGGTTGTTTTTGATATATCAATTAGTGAGATCTTTAGAGGGAGTCAAAACTTGGGTATGTTAGGACAGTCTGAGAATTCATTTGAGTGGGTGATCATAGTGACAGAATCAACCCAATTTTTCGGACAAAGTGAATGATCAGTGATGCATTCTCTTGATGGAAACCTATACTATTGGCATTTGATTTCAATCGTTGAAATTTGTTTTGCAAAATATATATAATATATATTATAGTTTCAAAATGTTTGCAAAATGTTATAATTCACGGGATTTATGTCAGTAGAGAGTGTAACACTGCACCTTGCGATCGATGAAGATGTCTTCTCTTGTCGGAAAATGTTTGATCATTATGAGCTGAGAGGTTAAGTGTAAGACCATTTTTAATGGACTAATCTTGCATCTGCCCACAATTCTTGGGTTTTAATAAGGTGGCTGGACCCAATGATCACTTAGTGTAAATGTTGGGTCCGTTAAGAGCCCATGATGATGGACTCAGGGGTTCACTATCTTCTACAATGAATTCGGCCAGGCCTTGTAACAAAAGTTGGGCTGAATCCATGTGATTGATGTGTAGATCAATATTTGAGCCTCACGGCATACAAGGATAGCTAACCGGGCAGCATGTTAAGTGAGCACATAGGCTTAATAGGCCTGAATTCCATTCGAACTGGCTTAATGAGATTAATTAAATAAGGGGCAGTTATGAAATTTAGATCACCTGATAGGATAAAGGATTATCCCTATCCACTCAAAGAATTTAGATCCAAATAAAGATTTGGATCAGGAAACTCCTAATTTGATTAGGAAGGCTGATCTTTATCTGTAGATAAGATAAGAGTTTATTTTTATCTCTTAAAAGAGATTCCACATCCAAATATAAGATTTGAATTAGAAAACTCCTAATAGGATTAGTAGAACCTCTCTTTAAGGTTATAAATAGGAGAGCAATGTGGACCTCCAAATACACTCACAGTCTGCTGAATTAAGAGAGAAGACAACACACAGTTTGACTGCTCCTGTCTTATGCTCTTTTCTTCCTGTTCTTGCCGCCTCTACCCAGTTCGATCTCCACTTATGGGAGTGATTAAGAATCGTTCTTGATATTGCTTATTGCTAGAAGAGACAATCTGAAGTTGTGCTCACCAACCCTTTACTACATTCTTGCTGAAGAATTTGGTTCTTGTTGAAGAGTCGTCTTGTTGATTTTGCTTTACTTCACACTGTGTCATCTTCAATAGGAGCAGATTTTGGTTTTCTCCTTGGGCATGAACACCTTCGTTGGGAGTTACTATTACTCCGTATCAGGTATATCCCTCTCCTCCCTTTTTTTGGTTTCAGATCTGGTCCAATTTATTTCAAGATTGATCATTGAAAATGCAGTTTTCTAAAATAGGAAATGCGATTCCCATATGGGAGAGAGAAATTTTTGAAATTTCGCCCAATCTTCTTGTAGGGTTTGGCCATCCATATGATGAATCTCTCATCCCTTCATTGTATGCATTGATAAGCTAAGGAGACCATGAAGAGACTAGGTGCAGGCCGTAAGAAAATGGATTAAGAAACCTTGCATTTTTTGGGCTTTATCTCAGAATGGGCCAGCATCTGGGTCTTTATTGGTCCATGTGGATCCAACCCAATGCCATTGAGTTTACCCGTCTCTCCTACCACAAGAGAAGTCCATGGATTCCTCATAGGGTCATTCTATTTATATGGTATTTTCCTATGCTGCCACTAGTGTAGATTCAGTTTCTCATTTTAATTGAATTCTATAGCTTCGAGATATTTATATGGTCATATGTGATTTAGTTGTTATTTTTTTGTTTGTGTTTTTATTAGATCTTTATATTAAGATTTTATTTAGCTTGGAGTTCTTTAATAATTTAAACTGACATTCTTTCTCCGCTCAAGTGTCAAACATCCAAGTTGGCCAAAGTCAACCCTTACAAAGTGAGAAAACAATACTCTTGTAACGATTTTCACTTCATTTTACTTGATCTTGTATTTTGAGCATTGACCAATTTTTTATTAATAAACATAATCCATTCCCTAACAATTTATATGGTATGATTTGCAGGTTCAACCATTATGTAAAATGGATTTGCATTGGAAGACATGTTACATTATCTTGAAAATTGGATTTTTTTTTTTAATTCCTTGTACTTTTATACATCAATTGGATATTGTATTTAAACAATTTGTTTTGGATATTATAATAATAAAGAATTAAATTAATAGATTTTGTTTTAATTGCATTTTTTATTTAAATTGTTTTTTATGTATCAATTGTCTTGAGATTTGTATTAAACAGGTATTAAAATGAGATTTATTATGGAATTAAGCTAGTAAAAAATAAAAGAAATATCAAAGCCGACAGTCATGAAACCGCCAGCTTAGCCATAAACAAGATGTAAAGCGGCAGTCAAATAGAACCTAAGTCGGTGGTTCAGACTGCAACCTAAGAAGGTAGGTAGAGTTTTGATTGACCTATGACGACGATCAAATATGATCTAAGCTGGTGGTTCAAACCACCACCTAAAAAGGAAACAATGAATTGATAAACCTAAGGCGTCAATCAAAACTGCCACCTTTATTAATGCTAAGTCGGCGGTTCGGACGTACTACCGCTTTAGAGTTAATTGAACCGTTTTGGACCGGCCATCAGGGGTGGTGGTCTTTTCTGTCTAAGCCGGCAGTCTTGACCTAAGCCAATAATGGTTTAGGGGGCGGTCTGAAGATCGCCACCTTAGACCTAAGCCGGTGGTCTTAAGGCCTAGACCACTGGCTTAGACCGATTTTCTTGTAGTGACTACTGAGAGTTGCATTAGGATGAAGAACACCTTTCCTAGAAGACTTATTTTCGCCATGTCTACAAAGAAGCTAACCAGGCCACGGATTGGATAGCTCGTGAAGCTTAGATTTCTAGTTAGGATTTGCTCTTTGGTTTTATTCAAAAAAAAATGTGGGTGATTTCAATGCATAGGTATTTCATAAATACGCTTAGAGCAGAAAGCAATGTTTCTTGTCTATAGATTAAGGCCCCAAGTGGCATGCCTTTTTCTGTGCGGGTTATCGACTGTTTAGAAGTTTGGTAGCCCTTGTTTTGATTTTTTTTCGTTTGGTTGGAAAAAGACTTAACAGTCAAAAGATGCCATCCCCAATAGATGTGCAAAGTCTGTTTTAGGTTATTTTTAGGAAACTTCAAATGGAGCTTTTTCAACTTTTTTCATTGAAGATGCACTTTCACCAAATAGTCTTCAGATGGCTAAATCTTAATGCAAAAGCTTACATCCCCTTTAAAAAAAAAAAACACAACGGCACCTAAGATATTAACGTTAAATTCATTAAGTAGGATCAGTAGCAGAGATTTCAATTTCATTTTCACCCTTGCAAAATAAACCAGTATTTGCACTCTCATGCATGAACGCAAATGAAATTAAAGTGCAGAAAATAGGATGTAGGGAGAAATTAAACACGAGTTTTCATGAGGAGGTATAATTTTATTTCCTGAAGCAAAAATGACAGTGCAAGGATTCAATCGACGTAATTAAATGCTTATAGTAACAGTATTTCATAAACAAGGAACTGAACTGGACTGAACGGGGAAGCAAATTAATTAAGGCAAATAGAAGCCTTGCCAAGCGAGTGCAAATTTCAAATAGTACCAAATCTCTTTATTTGGAAACACAAAATGACTGATACACCTCCGCCTTCACCTTCACTTCAGTTTGATGAATGTAACAATGCGTTTTCACAAAACTCTCTTCAACAGTCCATAAAGCACTTTGTACGCGCGGTTTACAACTTAAAACTTTGGTATTCAAAACAGGTTTCATCGTCCACCACCTCCTCCTCTTCCTGATCCAGCACCAGCTCCCCCACCGGCACCAACTCCTACTCCAACACCAACACCAATTCCTAATCCAAACCCTCCACCAATACCATGACCCCCGCCAGCACCTCCACCGGCACCACCACCTCCACCTAATCCTCCACCAGCACCACCACCTAATCCTCCACCAGCACCACCACCTCCACCTATACCACCACCAGCACCACCACCTCCACCTATACCACCACCAGCACCACCACCCGCGCCACCACCACCACCGCCACCAAATCCT